CGAGAAGTATCTTAGATGCTGGGATACAACAGTGAAGCAGATGATCCCTCGGGGAATGTCCTGAGGCCGTGTCTGAGCGGATTGCGGAGGGAGGTAGGAGTGGGGAGTCGGAGCCGGTTAGCGGTCTCCCGGCAGAGGAGACAGCTGTCACGTGACAGGACTCATCAGCCGTGGTAAGGACTCCTAGCCACTCAGAAGGCGGCAGGGTCCAAGGACAGGAAGTAGTTTAGCTTAAGAAGTAAAATGACCAAAGTGGATTTGGGGACTCTAACTCATGTGTAGGGAATGAAGATTTGGAACAAGACTGGAAGCTGGGAAACCAGCTATTGTTGACATCTCGTCCAGAAGTAACCATGGTAGCCTGGCGGATAGCTTCAGGGAAATAGAAAGAAGAGGCTGATTCCAAAGGGTGAAGAGAAGGAGCTGGTAACCGTGTGCAGAGAAGAAGGGGGGAGGAGAGGAGTCCAGGGCGGCATTTGGGTTCCTCCTTTGGGAAACTGGAGGGCATTGGAGGGTGGAGCCGCTTCCTGATACAGGTGACACAGAAGAGGCAGCGTGGGACCCTTAGACAGGGTCACATGTGTTGTGTTTTAAACATGTTACGTTTTTGATGCCTGTGTGATACCCAAGCGGAAGCTTCCAGAAGGCAGTTTGTGGATAGTTCAGGAGGATGCTCAGCCTGGAGTCATTAGCACTGAAACGATGTGAGCAGAGAGACTAAACTTACCAAGAAAGCTGGTACAGGCAAACCAAGAAGGTACAAAAAACCAAACCTGATTCCAATTCAGTGATAAAGAACTGAATTCCAAGCATATTGCAGAACGGTGACTTAAAATGGTAATGGAAGTTGTACCTGTACACTTTAAAGATTTTGAAGCCCACAGGTAAACTATTAGACCAAAACTTCTCCCTCTGCTTCTGGAGTGGAATGGACAAAGGGGTTTCTACATGCTCTGGGGGCAGGGTTGGACATCACCCTTTGAGTAAAAAAGAACATTTACTAAAAGGAGATGCCTGACTATTTATTCAGTCAGTAAGTCAAGGTTTTGAAAAACAAATTAAAATACCCATAGCCGCTTGGAAGAAGAAAGAGTTTTGACAAGCACATTAAAGCCACCGCAGAGGGTAACCTAGGGAAAGACGTGGAGTCAGGAGTTTTAATAATCTTGCAAAGTGTGCCTTGTTTAAATCTGCCAGAAAAAAATATCAAGAATTATTTCAAGAATAAAAGAAAGAGAGCAGGGCAGTGACTTTAACGCAAGACCAGAGGCTGACAAACTATGACCCCTGGGCTAAAACCTGGTTTTGTAAATAAAGTTTTATTGGAACACAGTCACAGCCATTTATTTACATTCTGTCTCTGTCTGGGCTGCTTCAGGGCTTGCTAGAAAAGCAGCTGAAGAGTTGCAACAGAGATGAGATGGCCCACCAAGCCTAAAATATTTACAAAATAAGTTTGCCGCTGAAAGCCCAAAGAAAGACAAGAGGATGTTTTAAAATGAGAACTAGAGCAATGATATTAAGAATTGAGGCCCTGGCTGGCGTAGCTCAGTGGATTGAGCGTGGGGTGCGAACCAAAGTGTCGCAGGTTCGATTCCCAGTCAGGGTACATGCCTGGGTTGCAGGCCATGACCCCCAGCAACCGCACATTGATGTTTCTCTCTCTCTCTCTCTCTCTCTCTGTCTCCCTCTCTTCCCTCTCTAAAAATAAATAAATAAAATCTTTTAAAAAATCTATCAGAAATAAAGCACATGTAGTAACATTTAAAAAAAAAGAATTGAGCGAAAGCTCAAACAGAGGAAAGGCTGTTAATTTTTATTGGCATTGATATTCAGTGCATTTGAGCATTTCTGATTTTCTTGAGCTTTTTCATGATTAATTCTATTAGATACAGATTTTATACCAATATAAATGTGAGCCGTGCTGGCATCTCCAAGATTAAAACGGAGTCTCGATGATTTTGAGTAGCTATTCCACGAAGACAATTTTGCCACCATATCCATTTGGTAATCAGCTTCGTGGGACCCGATCGCGCCGGCCATAGGCGTACAGACAGAGAATGAAAAATGTTTTCTCCAGTTCTAGGGAGCCAGATGCAGAACCATCCGTCACTTGCTTGGGCACGTTACTGATAAACTCTGCAGCAAAATAACAAACAGTGTGCCCCTGCATCTTGGCTGTTGAAAATGAGATTCCGTCCCTGATTGATGGTAGCAGAGAGGCTTGTAAAAATGCATTTCCAGCTGATTAGTTCAGAAGGTGTCAATCCCGCGTGGTTGTATGACCCGCAGACCACATGCCAGATGTACATGAGCTTTTTATAAACTAACAAAGATGAATGACTAAATTTAAGCATTTCTCTTTGGCCACTGAACCCTGTATTGCCTAAAGGAAGACACGGTGGGAGTATTGTGGGGGAAGAGAGTGGGGAGCACTTAACCCTTCGCTGACCAGATGAACGGAGATACAATGTAATACAGTACTTCGAAATACTTTCTCTATTGAATAGCTTCTACTCATGTTAAAGAATGAATATAAGGGGAAACCCTTAAAGAATATTAAGTGTTTGTGTTCATTACTCTCCCAAGCAAATGAATTCTAAATCCGTGCAGTTTTGTTTTGGGGGCATATTTTTTGAAGTCAGCAATGATTTGGGGGCCATAGTTCAGTGGTCTACGACTTTAATAACTGGGCCTCCATTTCTTTGAAAGAGATGGAGGGGAATGGCACTGCATTGCATTATTATACACCCTCATGAAAAATAGGCCTATAGCACAGTTTCATCTTTCTTCCCCTAGAAAGATTGAGAAATATTTAGACATTTTTCATCCTCATGGCCTTTTGGCTCAGAAAGTAATATTTTAATAAATTCCTATTAAATTTCAGAGCTCAATTTCATTTGACTTTATTAAAACATGATTTTAAATTTTTCAAAGGAATAATATGCAGTTTTAAACAATTAACAACACATTTTTAGAAGCGTGACAGACATCGACATGAAAATCTGTCATAAGGAAACAATATGTCATAAGATCTGCTTATTGGAAATTCTGACTCATACATTTTCACATGTATAGAAATTGTGGTAACAAAAAAATTAAAATATTAATGTAAAACGGATCCAATGCCATACATTTAAAAGTATTCACCTATTAAGCTTTTGCTTTGAACTACAAGGAAAGTAGTGAGAAGACTTTGGGTCACTGTCTCTAGAAAAACTAAGTCCTTTCAATTTCAAGGGACAGAAAATCCGCCCACACAGGCACGAGAAGAAGGGATGGCCTTTGCTTCTGAAACCGAAAAGGCCAGGAGGTCAGGGGCAGCTTGCTGCAGACACCCCAGAGGTGTCCCTGTGACCCGCGGTTTCTACCCCCCCCCCCGCCCCGCCCCGCCCTTGGCTCTGCTTCTGCTGGGATGGCATCATTACAGCTCCAGGCTGGTCGGGGGTTGAGGGGAGGGAATGTCTTAGAAGCTCCTGCAGGTCACTCGGGTTAGACAAGTCAGGTCACGTGTGCATTTCTGCTCCAAACGTGAAGGGCAGCATGCACTGGGACTGAGAGTTGGGAAGGGATGGAGAGTGAGAATTCAGAGCTGCGGCCCAAAGAAGGGGGGATGGGGGCTAGGAGAAACCACGAGTGTTCGCTACATTCTTCTGCAGGTGGGCAAAACGACTGAAGGACCCTGAGCCAGGACCCCTGACCTGGTTCTTACTCCGCCTGTGCTGTCGCTAGCCTTCTCCTAGACCGACCAGTACAATTCCTTTGAGTCCGTTTTCTCTGGTCTCCCCTTGCTGTCAGATAACGAAGGGGCGAGCTTCTATTCCGTTAATAAGAGCAGCCTAAAGCAAAACTGGCTAGTATGGTTTTTTTAACAAAAGTTATTTTGAAACACTTGTGTAAATAAAATATATAGGTCAACTAGATATTTTCAACAGAGTTTGCCCTAATAGGATCCTGCCAACACCTGATACTTAGGTCTGAAGATTTTAAAACTATTTTGTCAGTTCTCCCAAGAGGGAGTCAAGTCCTCAAAAACCAATGTTTTTGTTCATCGATACCGAGAAACGTACCATCATTGGCAAGCAGATGAAGATGTATGTATCAGCTGGTCAGTGAAATATGAGCTTAAAGAAACATGTGATCAAACCATCATAACCTGACACTCGTACCCACGAACGGGGTGGTTCGTGTGTTTCAAACCAAACACGTCCATGGGCCATTGAATGTGGTCTCCCTCTGGTGTTTCCGGAGAAGTCACTGGAAAAGTCTTCGTAGCTGTGACTTGTTGATGTCACCCACACTGTACGTCAGTGTTTTGTGATGGTTTCTCATGATCTCCAGTATTTTGGGCTTATTTACATTTGCCACATTTTAAATGAACTCCTCCATTTCAGAGAGGCGTATCCAGGGCTCAGGCTCCTGTTTAAAATGTGAGGAATGACCTTAATTTTATTTGGAACACACTTTCATCTTCCTTGGGAGAGCAGTTTCTGTGAAAGGTGGTTGACTAATCTCATCTATTTTGTGTTGATTTGTATCGGCTTCATTTCACAGACTGTTATTTTCTGACCCTCTCCCAAATTAGAACTTCGCCCTAGGTAGGTCCCTATTTATTTACCACGCACACTTACCACATTCGCTCCCAGGGCGCTTTCTCTGAAATACGGGAGGCTTGCGTAATTGTACTTCAAACCAATCCATATTACTTCACGCCACTAATAGACTGTCCTAATTAGTGATTTTTTATTTCTTCGTCAGAATCAACATACGATTCTTCTCAGCCGTCTCCAATCTAAACGTTTACTTTATACAAAAGCAGCTGCAAGGATTGTGTTTATATTTCATCTGTTTCCAGAAAGTGTACCTCATGGGAATTACTCTCAGATGGGGGGGGTGGGGGGAAGAAACAAATGTGAAAAAACCGACCCACACACAAAGCGCATTCGCCATGGCAGCACAGGGAGGGGAACTCTCTCACTGGTTTGTGTCCCTCTCCGCAGATGGACTCGTCGACTGCATGGACCCTGATTGCTGTTTACAGAGCTCCTGCCAGAATCAGCCCTACTGCCGTGGACTGCCCGACCCGCAGGACATAATTAGCCAAAGCCTACAATCCCCGTCTCAGCAAGCTGCCAAATCCTTCTACGACCGAATCAGCTTTCTTATAGGATCCGATAGCACCCACGTTATACCCGGAGAGAGTCCTTTCAATAAGAGGTTAATGCTTCTTTTCCTGACACAGATTCATAGGGATAGCATATAGTTGCATGAAGCGCTGACCGCTGTGAATCTGTGGAAAGGGCTTTCTTAAACACGGTGTTTCCTCTTGCGGCACATGCCTCGCCCAACTTTGTGTGTCAAGCACTTTGGACACTGTTCCCATACTTGCTCCGTTTCCGTGCCTGCGACAGAACAGGACACCCCATTAAGGAGTCAATAAATCTTCATTTAACTAGTTAGCCCAGTTGGAAACGTTTCCAAAGAAGCAGCAAAAAGACCCCAAAAGGCAAAAGAGAAGTGCCCTTTTTCTTTTAGCTGAGCTCGCTAAATAACATAAATTATGAATGAATGGAACGGGACGGCTAACGGCAAGTGGTGGGATCGCCTGAGCCGTGCGACTGGCGCTCTCCAGAGCGGTAATGACCTGAGAGTAAGCCCGTAAGTGAAAGCAGGTGTCTCACGTCCCACGGAGCGGAGGAGATGATTTACTCCAGAACTCCTGGGTCTGCCGCAATTTCACAGCATTAATGCAGTTCGACCCCGCAGTTGATTAAAAGTTGTCACACAAATGTTCCTTATTGCCCCCTTAAATCTTGTCCTTCTGGGTCCCTGCAGATTTACAGATTGCCTCGGAATTAATTGGAAAGTATACTTTTCTTCATGTAAGCACCAGACATGTGATTTATGGGGGGAAAAAAACAGCAATTTATAATTTTAAAATTCATCTCTAAATCATTGCTTTAGATAACTCTCCAAAACCAGCTTGCAATGAATTAAAGCCCAGGGTGAATCACTAGGCATTTCCAGAGTGTGAATTACACGGAATTAAAAGGGACATTGTCTTGGGAGTATTTCAGTCTGGTTTTTGTGAGTAATGATTGCGTGCGATCCTGTTATTTTATCTCGAGGTTGAATTATCTCTACATCATCATCCTGCCTGCCGGCCCGAGAAGACAAATGTTCATTCTGCTTCTCCTGCATTTCCCACAGCCTCGCGTCCGTCGTCAGAGGCCAAGTACTCACTGCTGATGGGACCCCGCTCATCGGGGTCAATGTCTCCTTTTTCCATTACCCAGAGTACGGGTACACCATCACCCGACAGGATGGCATGTGAGTGTGTCCCCGTGCACTGTCTGTGCCTGAAGTATTGTAAGTGCAAGAACTAGACAGTCTTCTATCACCCGGCATGTCTTATTGGCCCTTGTAATATAGGGGTACAATGACTTTCAGACTCCAGAAGTCTGTGACAGCCCACGTAGCAGAAATTTAGAGTCCTGTGTTTGTATAGCTCTTGATAAGTTGATGCCATTTTCTAAAGCATGATGATAGTGTTATGGGGGGGGTTAAGATTTTATTTATTTATTTTTAGAGAGAGGGGAGGGGAAGTGGAAAGAGAGAGCAAGAAATATCAATGTGTGGTTGTCTCTAGCGCGCCCCCTACTGAGGACCTGGCCCACAACCCAGGCATGTGCCCTGACTGGGAATCGAACCAGTGACCCTTTGGTGCACAGCCCATACTCAGTCCACTGAGCTACACCATCCAGGGTTAGTGTTGTGGTTTTGAATGTTCTTGGTCAGAGAAGATTCTTGATGAAATATCTACGAGCAACATTGCATAGTGTGTACAACCTAAGCTGAGATGATTCTGAAAAAGGAGTAGGCGGGTAGATAATAAAGCGAATTTGGAACATGTCAATAAATTGATAAATCCAAGTGCAGGGTATATGAGTGTCCATTGGCTAATTCTCTAAAGTTCCTGTAGATTTGAAGCTACTTCATACAAAATTGGGGGGGGGGGGAGTTGATTTTCTTTGTAAAACACATTGACTTAAGGAGGTTAAATAGTCTGGAGTCGTCCCATGGGATCCAGCTGGTTCACTGGGCATATCTTGTTTTCCTTAGGTTTGACCTGGTGGCGAACGGTGGGGCCTCTCTAACCCTGGTGTTCGAACGGTCCCCGTTCCTCACGCAGTATCACACTGTGTGGATCCCCTGGAACGTCTTTTATGTGATGGACACTCTCGTCATGAAGAAAGAAGAGAACGACATCCCCAGCTGTGATCTGAGCGGGTTCGTGAGGCCGAATCCTATCATCGTGTCATCGCCGTTGTCCACCTTCTTCAGATCCTCCCCGGAAGACAGCCCCATCATCCCTGAAACACAGGTAGAATATTCTAGCAGGCAGCTCTTTCAAATAAACCGTTTCCAGATCGTGTGGTTTCCAAAGAATGTGTAAAAAGGATGGCAGCATTCCAGTGCCATTCTAAGTAATTCTGTAGAAGGAATTATAGGATGTGGCGTGTGTGTGCACACCCCAAACAGGTATGGTTAGGGCAGTGTATCTAGTTCTTTCTTGAAGATCTACTCAAAACTACTTTGCTTCAGGGTACACCTGTATGTATTTAGTAGTTGCAGCCAGGTGGAAAAACAGATTAAACTCAACAGCTAATCATATCTGTGCTGGTGTATTCTCTCACTGGGAAGGCTTTCAAGCGCCTGTATGTGCCAGACCTCCTGACCGGCTCACCGCAGGTGATCACCTGCGTGGTCATCTCTCTCAGTAACTGACCATTCAGTTTTTACTGTGAGTGAAAAAATGTTTTCAAGGAGGTTATTTTTGACAGAAAATATTCATTCATTTGCTCAGATATTATTTTTAAAATGGGTTCTTAAGTCTATAGTTTGTGAATCAGAAAGCCCTCTTCTCCACAGGTTAAAAAAATATAATTTTCTTTACAATGGCCATGTTTTCACTGTTCATTTTACCTAATGAAGTATCTGGATGTTGTTTTCTTTCCTATGTGTTTCCAATTAGAAATACTTTCAGGTCTTCGAGGCAAGACATTTGGTACAATAATAATGGACTTTATTCATAAACAGCTAAGGAAAAATACATCATCTTTAAAATTTAACAATACACATCAGCTTTGTCACATTCATTCTTCAAATATTTGTTGAATTTTTGCTTTGTATCAGATGCTGTCAGAATGTGACAGATTGGAAAATCGGTCAGAGGAAGTACCTGCTTCCAAGGAGTTTACCAGCTAATAGGGAGGGAAGGAGACAGCAAATGGATAAATATATGTCAGGCTGTGAGTAAGACATTGTGAAAAACAAAGCAGGGTAAAGTGGACGGAGGGCAGCTTTATAAAGTGCGGTTTGGGAAGCTCTCGTTGATAACATGATATTTCAGCAGAAACTCTAAGTGAAAGAATAAACCTTAGAAATAGAAGCATTCCAGGCAGGGCCCAGAGCAAGGGCGAGTGCGCTGGGGGAAGAGCTTGCTTCACTGGCTCTCGGAATGGCAGAGGGGCCAGCAGGGTGGGGGCTGGGGTGAAGGGCGCAGCACAGGAGTAACAAATCACCGAAGACCATGTTTGGCGAGGGTGAGGACATCCTCCTCTGAGTAACTGCAAGGTGTTGGTCTTCCGTGGTTGGAACGAACAGACCGGTCAGAAAGCAGCCTCAGTAGCCAACAGCAAACATGATGGCGGCCTGGCCAAAGGTGCCTGGGGTTGAGGCGGTAAGAAGTGGCCCTGCGACGGTGGGGTCCAGGGCAGAGGTGCGGAGTGAAGATGTAAATTCGGGAGTCATCAACTTTATAGATGTACTTAAAGCACAGGATGAGGCAGTAGACAGAGATCAGAAGAAGTGAGCCAAGAAAGTCTAGGATAACAAAATACGGAAAATGCTCGCAGACAAATATGATGCAGAAGAAACACCTTGCTCATGTACTGCGTAACATCGAGCAGACTTCGAGGAGACACTGTCAGAAGCTCACTGTAACCTACTCAGTGTAACGCTCCCTCCCCAGGGCCCACCGTGCCGCAACTGAACTCATTCGCCAGTCCAAAAATAGACCTAACCTAGAGGCAGTGCCTGTCTACAGGTGGCAAATTTCTAGCAAACCACGTCATTGCAATAGACTTCAAATCCACAGTTCTGGAACACATGAAGGTTCTTTTTTTTCCATTCCATAATATAGACAGAAAAATCTACTGAGAGCCTATTAGGTATTACCAGGTATTCTGCTAAGATAAAAAGAGTGAAAAGACACGCAGCCTGTTACGCTAAGCATGATAAAGATTTGAGTGAAGAATTGTGGAGGTTCAGAAGAGAGCCCAATTCCGAAGGAGCCAAAGAAGGCATCCCCGAGGAAGTCGGCTTTAAGGTTGAGGAAACCGCGCGAGCCACTGTGTGGCGGCGGAAACAAACAATGCTGTGTGAGGACCGGTGAGCAACGTACTGTGCGTGGGGGACACGCACGGAGAAAGACCGGGGCCACATTCTGCATGGCCCTGAAATACCACCCAAAGGAGACCTTGAATTCTTTAAGCCAAGGGAGCCCGAGGACCAACCAAGTTTTTCCAGCATTTCTCTAACGCTGACTCCAGCGACGAAATGCCTCATTGACGGAAGGAGGCAGAGAGATCTGCGAAGAGCCAGCGGTCACCAAATTTCCACGCACACCCAGCGCACAGATGGACAGGGCTCACAACGGCAGGGGCGGCGGAGAGGAGGGAATGGATTAGACAGAGAGCTGGAAGGCGGCATTGGCAGGAGGCGGCTTCTAACTGAATGGCTAATGGGGTCCAGAGTGGCGCATTCAAATCACACAGCCGCCCAAGAGTAGGCAGAATGGTTTATCTTTCCCCTCCGGCGGGATTGGCTTTCCACACTAATACAGGATGACGTGGTCAGTTCAAATGACTTGGGAGACACGCATGTTTTAATGAACTAAATTACAGATATTTGTTCCATGGAGGTAGGTGAATGACGGAAAAGACAGCAGTCAGTTATTAAAATTAGGATAGCACGTGATACTTTGAAACAGAGAAGCACCTCCTAGAAGATCGCAGGAAATACAGTCATGAAAGATTGCCTTGTAGATACACACAAAACCTGGCGAATTTCAGAGAAGTCATTTTGAAAGTAAGTGAAGAGGAAGTAAAGTTTATGCTTCAGGTCTCAATGACTTGTAGTTTCCGGGCCACTCAGGAGTCACAGAATCTGCTTTTCAGACTGACCTGTTGATACTTCACCCCAGTGAGGGGAAAACGAGTTCTGTTCAGTTTGTCTACCTTCCACGCTTCAGTCCAACCTTACATGCAGCGGTCGCCCTCTGTCGAACAGAGCTCTAAAACGTTCCTAACATGTTCAGAAACTATTTTGCTGGAGACCATCTGTGGTTGGACTCAGTGTGCTCGGTGAAGGAACCCCGACTGTAATCAATGAGCCTATTATAGGAGAGCGACGCCTTCTGAATCCATTACATAGCATCGCCGTGTTCCTTTCCATGCTAACGCCGATCACCGACCAGGACGGAAGCCTGTTCAGTTCATTCTTTTGTGCCTCTTCCGACTGTTTGATTGTTCCCTTTGAAACCAACCGCTACATCCTCGGTATCCACGTTTCTCCTTAAGTTATCAAAATCTGGAGGTGGCAGAGGTACACCATCCCTACCTTCTGTGTGAGAGCAGACGGGGAGAGAAACACGTCTGAACACTGCACTGTGCTCTAAGATTTTCTAACAGGAAAGAGCCATCCTTTAGGTCTGCCCGGTGAGCCTCGGTAGGGTGATCTTGAAGAAGCCTCTGAAAACGCCATGAAATTCTCCGCAGCGAAAGGGGGGGCCTGGCCCCCGTCTGGCAGGCAGATAGCCCTGCACCTCACATGCAGCGTCGTAAGGCTCTGAGGGGCTGCCATTCTTCACCAAAGCAGTGGGAGCGTTAGTAAGGAGAATCTGAAATCTCCAGGAAGACTTCTGTGTACTACACAAAATATATTTTTCAAAATAACTCAACAATGTTTTGGCATGATGTGTTTTGCATACATCAGTATAAATTTGTGGGCATTGATTGAGCCCGTCACATTGATGGGTAAATTGCAGAGTTAAGACTAGGGTATTTTTTTAAATGTATAAAGAAGATAACTCTCATGCAGGTAATTATATTAACTTTTTACAGCCCGGTTTCACTTCCAAAGGTATACAGTGTCTTTTATAGCGTGCATTCAGTAACACAGTAGCTGTTCATGGGGAGATATTTCATGCACCTTTCAATTATTAATTCATTTACCGTCACATTGAAAATCAGTGGTGACTCCCAGCTTATTTAGCTAATTATGAGAATGTGCTATTTTCATATCACTTTTCATCACGGATGTGGGCTCTGCCATCGCTCCTGCCTTTGTGAGTCGTGGCCAGCCAGCCGATGAGGCCACAGCAGAGGTCTCGTCCCTACCTGAGGCAGCTGGTGGGGGCCGGATCTCTGGCCCAGACCACGTCCCTGTTCTGAGCCAGACAGCTCCCAGATGTCCGCTCCACCCCGCTAGGGCCTCAAGGGGGAGGGGGGTTAGGGAGAAGCTACTGTGACCACACACTCACACGGCAGCACGTGTCGGCCCGGTGGGGCAGCCACAGCGGCCGCTGCACCAGGAGTGGCCCCTGAGGTGTGGAGGAGGGACACCTGAGGCGTGAGGAACTCCAAACAGACAACAGGATGCTGCCCAGTGGAGAGCAGTCGGGCCGGCGGCAGAGGTGTAGCCAATCGCTGAGTAGGATAACGGCTCCCACGGCTATTTCGTGAACCGTGACTCTCGTGTCTCAGTTGCTCTACTTGGTTTGGGGGTTTTGTTTTGTTTTTGTGCACACAGTTTATCTGGTAGCTGTCCGCAATCACAGTTCGGTGCTTTCGCTTTATGCACACCTAGGTGCTGCACGAAGAGACCACCATCCCAGGGACAGACTTGAAACTCTCCTACTTGAGCTCCAGAGCCGCCGGGTACAAGTCCGTCCTCAAGATCACCATGACCCAGGCCGTCATACCGTTTAACCTGATGAAGGTCCACCTCATGGTGGCTGTGGTAGGGAGACTCTTTCAAAAGTGGTTTCCCGCCTCGCCGAACTTGGCCTATACGTTCATCTGGGATAAAACAGATGCATATAATCAGAAGGTCTACGGTCTATCCGAAGCTGTTGGTAAGTCCCATGTAAATTTATATGCTACACCAAAAAAAGTTGTCTTGGTTCAGAACTAACCTGCAAATAACTGAAACCCAATGAAGCCAGTGGATGAGCAGGTAGGCAGTAAGGTTGTCGTCACAGGGAAGTTACGTGCAGGTTGGCTTAGATATAACATGGGAAACGGGTGTATTGACTATGAGGAGAAACAGAATGTGTCATCTCGGGGGAGGCCGAAATTAGACTTTAGAAGCACGTTCTGAAGGAGATTTCAGGTTGTCATATTTTTTTCATGTTTTTTCTCTTTATTGCATCGCTTTTATTATTTTCTTCTCTCTCTTTTTTTTTACAATTTTACCTCCCTCACTTTCCTTACCTTTTTCTTTTTTATCATTTTCTGTGTCTAACAACTGGTGTAGTTTCCACTCACAGTGACGTTTAACAGGATGTCAGACATTTGTGCCTAAAAATTATTTTAGCCCTTTGGATTATAAGGACCGGTCCGTTCAAGGAAGGAATATTCTTCATACGCCAGTCAGATCCACTGGGTCCCTGGGCGGCAGGAACGTGGAACTGAACTTTGACACGTTGAGATGTACACAGAATAGCGTCCAATTCAGGCTCCAAACATCGACCACTGAGGAGAACATGCATTTTGCTCTACTAGTTTTTAATTTAACAAACACTATATTCTGAAATTAATATATAACTTGGACTTAAATAATTCAGATCCATCAGATAATTGCCGCTTCCTTCACTTTGTCCTAAATGTTAAAACTCCGTGTCTCCTTGTAAACTCGGAGGGGTTTTTTCTGATTGGTTTGTATTACTTTACTGTAAATGTCATTGTTCATTCCTGATAATGGGACAGTATGGCTTTTTATTGTATTGCATTTTACTTACTGTAAATATTTTTCCTAACTCAATACTCGTGGAAACTACATAGCTCCAGTAATTCAGGTAGCACATATGGTTTTCAGTGGTTATCATCTGATCGCCTTTTGGGGCTGACTTATCTGAGACAATTACTGACTCAGTTGCCCAACCCGAACTTCATTCTGTGCTGTGAACCCCTTGTAAAGAGTAGTTTGGAGGGGGGGGGAATACCAGTTTCCATTAAATCGATACAAAAATAATATATGGAGGTCATACTTTTAGAAAAACATCTTTGATGTGATTAAATCTCCTCATATAAAAAAATAAACACTGCCTGTAACTAAATGGAAATAGGGTCTCAGAACACGATTGTGGAAAAAGCAGACGTATGGAAATAACGGAGATAAGTTGCAGCCCTGCCATGCTTGACCGATGACCTCTGACCTGTCTTGGTTCCAGTGTCAGTTGGGTACGAGTACGAGTCCTGCCTGGACCTGACGCTGTGGGAGAAGCGGACCGCCGTCCTGCAAGGCTATGAGCTAGATGCGTCCAACATGGGCGGGTGGACGTTGGATAAGCATCACGTGCTGGACGTTCAGAACGGTAAGGTCTCGTCCACGGAGAACTACCATCGCTCACTTTCACGTGCATCATATTCCACATTCTATTCGATGTGTGTGGCAGGATTGGGATTAGTAGGGAAAACTAAGGATGTACAATTGACCTTTGAACAACACCAGGGTTAGGGGCGCCAATCCCCTGCCCAGTGAAAAGTCAGCACGGTAGCTTTCGACTCCCCCAGACTCAGCTGCTGATAGCCTGCTGCTGACCAGAAGCCCTACTGATAACATAAACCGTCAATTAACATTCATGTTACATGTTATGTATGTAACCTCCTGTATTCTTACAATAAAGTCAGCCAGAGAAAAGAAAATCTTATTAAGAAACATCATAAGGGAGAAAAATGTATTGACATTACTGTACATATTTATTGAAAAAAATCTATGTATACATGGACCCACACAGTTCAAACCTGTGTTCAAGGGTCATCTATGCTTTTAAAGCCTGTACTAGCCCGAAGAGGGAACTACACAATACTCTTCCAACAAATGCTTTGGTGTTCACAGATTCATTACCAAAATAGTTCTCCCATTAGGATGGGAGTGACCGCCCTTGGCGCTGCGTTGAAGGGCGTCCTCCCCACGGGTTCGCCCGGGAGTGTCTGACGCCACAGGGAGCCCATGAGTGGACCCAGGGTGCTTTGGGAAGGTTTACCCAAAAGGGAGGGAGGGGGAGTTTGGTTTCAGTGAATAAAAAATATAAATCCATGTTACTTTACCAGTCTGTTACCACTGGATCTTAACCCTTAGGTAAGTAGCCTATTCTGAATGTCTAGATTTTTTTCAGTTCTTCATAGAGTGTACTTGAGGGGAAAAAAATATCCTTACACTCAAATTGGGTTACGTATAGTGTTATTTGACTTTTTAAATACTAGGAAAAAAATAAATGCATAGTCTGAGAAGAAAGCAAGAAATCCAGAATAAACCTTGCAGTGGACTTGATAATACAAGTGGATATCCTCCGAGAAAAAGCGTATTTCAGCTATTACAAACCAAAAGAAAAAAATTACTTGCAAAATTGGACCAGCTTAATCTCATAAAGAATGTTATTTATAGTAAATAAATGCTGCTGCCTTTACATTCTGTCCTCATAATGGCTACGTCTCAGGTACTTCGTAAGTACTTTCTAGAAAAGCAGAATCTTCAGGTAGTAGTAACTCGACTCTCCCTTTGCAGATAGCCAGAGAAGGCAATTTCAGTCTTGATGAACTAATCTAGCTTTGACTTTGCAGAGGTTTCTGGGCAGTTCAGAATATTGAATGTAGCAGTCAATAGAACTACATATTTGACTGTGATTAATGATCACTTTTTCAGATTAATGTTGCTTTGATATTTGTGTTTTTTTTAATTTGTTTAATTTGGAGAGGATATATTTTCAGGCTCCAAATACACTAAATCTAAAGCAGTCTCCAAGCCAGGGCTAGCTGCTGCATGACCTCCCAAAGAGAATAGTAACTGAGCAAATCAACACTAAGGAAAAAAACAAGCAGAAAGCCCCTCAAACAACGCCTCTCCTATTTCATGGCTGTGCTAAGCCCTGTTCCCTTTCTAACTGTGTCCTGGACGTCGGGCTGTAGTTCGGTTTGCACCCCAGAAGCATGGGAGCGGAGCCACTAGTCCCCCGTGAAACACACAGCTCAGAAACATGAGCCTCCCGGCCACGGAGGACGGTGGCTTTGTTTGCCCCATCCTAAGGCACATGAGCAGCTGTAGCTTCAGTGTGCAATGTCAAAAACACAAGGCCTCGTCGTGGTCTTTCAGAATGCAGAGCCCGTGCCAACGCTGCAGGCAGCTGCCCTTGATTAAGTTATTGAAATTGTATTTCACACCATTTGACACACTGCTCTGTACCTTGCAAAGTTCTTTACAAATGAAACTCGGGGAAACCTCTCTAGATGCATTTTAGTTATTCTGAGACAGAAGGGTCAAGTTCATAGCCAGTTAGCCCCGGGATCTCACCCATGAGATTATGAACCAAGAGGGAGGCTACAAGCAGAGAGCCCTCGGAAGGTCCACACCTCTGGAGTTCAATGCTGTTGCGATGCCCAACTCTCAGTATGGTCTTCAGGGGGGTTAAGAAAACTGTAGCTGTCCTGAGCATGTATGTATGGTAAACACACACACGCACACTCTCTACCAGAATAATAAGAGTTAGCTTTTATCAAAATATCAGCTCAGATGTAAGAACTGGACCAGCCCAAATTCTGTCCTCCAAAAAACTGTCATAAATTATAAAACAACATGTTATTTTGAAATGGGAGGTAGCCTATTTGTGGAATGAACTGAATGTGATTTCAAATCGTACCCAAGAGCAGCCTGACAAGCAGTGGCTTTTCAAAGTGACACATGTCTAATGGAATAAACAAAGTGATTTGCCATCCTGACAAGGTGGATGAGCTGTGGAAACGCATCAAGGAAGAAGGGAAGGCACAAATGGAGACAGTGACAGGTGTTCGTGCAGGCGCCCTGGAACAGGGAAATAAATATTCTAATGTTCATCTCTCTACTCTGTCCTAATAGGGGAGAGCCGCGAAAGACCAATTAATTGCTCGTGGTAATGACTGAACGCGTCAGGTGCAGAAGGGTGTGGGCTGGCTCCTAGCACTCTTCTGATGGAAATTACAGAGCTGGCTCTTAGAGGGAATTACAGTTCCATAGTTATCAAATAACATAATCACAGAAAGAAGGGTATTAGGTAGCAGCAATGCGTTCTCTGAATATTCAAGGCAAAATGCATCTGATCTATTGTTATGATCTAGTCTTACATAGACTTTTTTTTTTCATAAATATGAATAAACCTATTTCATCTTTCCTGATTTCCTTATGTGAATTTGCTATGATTGTTCCATCACTCAAATAGCAAAGCATTAAGGAAAGGTAATCCAAGAATTCACCTCAAATGTGCCGAGCTATAAAGAGAACATAATTATTTTGACCTCTTCTTCACTTTAAAATTATTCCAAAGTGGAAGGAAAATATACTTTCTCTAGTTTCCTGTTGCACGTTCACGGGGCTGGTTCTCTTCACGGTTTACCTGCTAAACAAGGTCCGAGTTGGCCTGGAGAACTGCTCTGCGATGTGGAATAGTCGGTCACAACCGCATGTACAGCTCTCAGGTCAGAGCAGCAGGTGGTTTAGGCAGATGACACACTGGGAAGGGTCCCGACGTGCGTGTGGAACGATGACAGCTGGCCGGGCAGTGACACGAGACCAGAATGGAGCCTTTGATCTTTGTGCTGCGGCCACGACAGATGACTAAACTTAGACTCTCGGCTCAACCCTGCTTCCTGACTACAGAAATGTTTCATCTTCATTTGGAATTTTTTTCTCAGAGTTTCATTGACGATATCGTAAGGGAACAGATTGGCATTTTGTCTTCTTAAAATATCATTGACACTTTCATGCCGTGAAGCAGAATCACTTTAAATAATTAATTGGCCCTTCCACAACAGGTTCGTTATGTTTGAAATGTTGAACATGCCTTCTTATACCAGACAACAGTATAAGCAAGAAGAATATTCTTTGACAGTATCGCAGAATATTGGAGGTTTGTTATAGACTCTCTAACTTTGTTTTCCATAAAGTATTTTTAACTCAAAAAATGATAAACTCTTAAGGAAGAAATTTATATTACGGTGCACATTTTATTAATTGGATTAATTTATAATATTTTCAACATCATTTAACAATTAGGTATACTGGTTCCTCCCTAAAGAACATGATTTAGAACATGGCTGTCCAACTTGGTTGACATTAGGGTCTTCTGGAGAGGTCTCTAAAATCTCAGTGCCCAGGCTGCACCCACACCGATTCCATCAGAATCTCTTGGCGGTGAGACCCAAGCATCAGTATTTTTTTCCAGCTCCCCAGTCGGTGCCAACATGCAGCCGGGTCTGAGAATCACTGATGTAGAGACTGTGGGTTTTCAGTTCTTCTTGTCCGTCCTTGGTTTCTTTCACCAGCCATTCTTTAAATTCCTAACAGACGGCTTTTTTCGTATGTAGTCTACGTATGTTGACACATGATATTTTCCAGTAGGCGATTGAATGGAATGTTTCCCAATGGAACTTTAAATAAAAGTTTTTCCAGTCCAAGCCTAAGTAGCACTCAATTGGAGTTCGAGCTACAGGAAACCTCTTTGCTTTTGGTCTTTACACTTTCCATTGTGAGGAAAAACGTGTTTTATTTCTTGTAGGCATACTGTACAAGGGAAACGGGGAGAACCAGTTTATCTCCCAGCAGCCCCCGGTGGTCAGCAGCATCATGGGCAACGGACGGAGGCGCAGCATCTCGTGCCCAAGTTGCAACGGCCAAGCGGATGGTAACAAACTCTTGGCCCCGGTGGCGTTAGCGTGTGGGATCGATGGCAGCCTGTACGTGGGGGATTTCAACTACGTTCGCCGGATATTCCCCTCCGGAAACGTCACGAGTGTTTTAGAACTAAGGTATGTCTTTCCTTAATTCGGGATTTTAATGAAAACCAAATGTGCCTTTGTGGAGGAAAAATGTTAAATCTAATGTCCTAATGTATTTATCTAAACATGCCTTTCCAATGTTTAAAGTTCTCCCTAGAAAAAGAAGTTCATTTTGATTATAAAGTTAGGGAAAGCACAACACATGTGAGTATATATTTTGCTGTAAATATATAAACAAGTATAAAGTCACCTAGTATATAAAATATCTCACTGATTCCTGCGAGTGTTCTGTTCTCTGCTAGGATAGAATTATGATGTTTAGGTCTGTTTAGTTATCTCTAGAATAAATAACCTTGTGATATATACTGTTAGTGTCTTATTTCAGTGTTTGAAATTAAGGCATAAAATATTTTCCTACAATTATTCCTCTATGTTATTAGCCGTAATGTCAATAGTTGAAGTAACAAATTGTTGTCTTTGCTCTGTTCATTGAAGTGTGATTATCAAAATCACTCTGTTCTGTAAATTATTTGAGAAGCCTTGACCTACAAATTTTATCCCCAGTGTTATTGCTGCTTTAGCTGGCGATTCTCCATACAAAGAATTAAGATCTCAGTATTCAACTCACTGTATTTTAGAAGCCTTTTCTAACTGTGCTTTTTTTCACCTTCCTTATCTGCTTCCACCAAGAAATAAAGATTTTAGACATAGGTAAGCATCTTGCTTAAAGGCTCTTGTATATTTCAAACGTCCTTTTCACATTCCACTGTGATTCTCTGACATTTGTTTTCTGTCACCGTTCTGTCATGAGAGAGGGAACTCGGTATCACAGAACGTCTAAGGAATCAAAACCGCTTAAAGAGCGAACATTATGCAATATATTGCAAATTCTATCATGCGATGTAATCTGAAAAGTGATTTCGAGTCGATGAATCAAATACATTTTGAGACCCAAAAATCATTATAATGAACATCTTCGTATAACAAAAACTATCCCTAAACTGTGGTTACCAGCTCACGGCGTCCAAGTCCCACGGCCCAGAACGTAACGGGAAGCGCAGGAGAGTTTAGTTTGGCCGCCAGCCGGGGCAGGTCCTGGGTTATGGGGCCCAAAGCTTATTCAGTGCAGGGGACTCTGCTCAAGGAAAAGAGACTCAAAATATTTTTACTTTGGCAAGTTTTTAAAAAGCCTCAGATGGCGTGAACCTGGTGCCAGAGCCCTCGCTGGACTTGGAAGGGACTCAGACGAGCTCCTGGTAAATCCATTAACTTCCTGGTAGATCCGTCCCTGCTGTCGTTTGTAGCGTCCTGGCTTGAGAGAGTTACTAGACTGGCGTTTGCAGAAGCAATGTTTCCATCGACTCCCTTAGTGGGGGGAAAGGCTTTTCTTCGGAGCCCAGGGTGAGTGCGGGTGAAGCGGATGTAGAGACTCCGAAGCGCCCCAGACTCTGTTTGCTGTGCACCAGCAGTGGGGGCAGGCGCAGGAAGAGCTAACGTGAGGCCGCTTTGACTGAAAGCGTCCCTCCAGACAGCGGAAAGCGGGAAGACAACTCGTTTTAAAATAAAGCCAGCCAAGAGCGAGACAGATCGGGTGTGCTCGATCCAGCCTGGCCATTCCCACACCTCAGGAAATGGCATCAGATGGAAAAATGTGCGGCCGTTTACCTGGCTTCCTGAGATTAGTGTGGCAACGTGGCCCGTGTAAACGGTTGTAAAGAGGCTGACAACTAAGAAATCAAACCCCAAAGCTCTCCTGCAAAAAAAAAAATGGGTGGCTGTTGCGTATCACTGGGACCAGGCAGGGGCCCACGACTCTCTCTCTCTCAAGACCCCCTGTGGCTCTGGCTGGCACTGCCAGCGAGTGGCTCAGTCACGTGCTGAGCTTAAAACTGCCCCAGACTCCTGCACAGGCAAAGCTGTGCTGTGGGAAACCGCAGCAGAATATCAACATGGTCCTGGCCTCGCCTTCCTGGTAACCGTGGAGGGGAGAGAAGACGAGCAGGCGAGAAGCTGGAGGCGCTGCAGAAAAGCAATCAAAGCAGCTGCCTTTTAATGAGCGGGCCTCTTGCACGCCAGGCACGTGGCCAGATTCTCCCTACGCACGACTGCAGGTCCACACCACAGCCCTGGGGCTGCACAGGAGGAGCCCGCATGTCTTCCCCGAGATGCAGAACTCGGAGACGAGGAGCAGAGATTTGAACCACACCGAAAAGAACGTTCCTTCCCCTGTGCCACAGCCAGTTTCTATGGCTCCGAGTGGCTAGGTTTCCACAGGGTAATTCCCTGGGCATTCCAAACACTAGGTTTATTTCATAATCATTTGACACATTAATTGGCACTGTAATTTCTTTCTCGGGGAAAAAAATCTATGCAGTTAGAGCTACATTATTATTAACAACACTTGATGGAATGAACTCAGGATGTACTAACTCATGGCGTTTGGCGGTGATACTCACTGTGACCCTGCTCTCATGACCCTCTGTCACCCCTCTCCTCTGTGTGTCATCCTGGCTGCACGTGTGCTCCTGTGTGTGCCATGCATGTACGCGCACAGCTTGGCTTTTATGTGGATGTCCGTCGTTACTAGATCCATGGTCCCTGATCGCTCGTCCGGTGCCGGGCACTTGGACAAGCTGTCGTAGCAGACCAAGTCGGTGCTCTCGGAATGTAGTCGTTGAGAGAAGATAGGCATGCAGTGGATTGAAAGTACCAGTACCACGCTCTGACAATTGACCATACCCTCAGCTTCCGCAGGGAGAGTATAATTCTGGGGACGAAGGGGTCACTGGGAGATGGCAGCATGGTGAGGAGATGTTTCCGCCCGGCGTTGGAGTTTGCCGAGACGGAACCACCAGGAGAGGGGAGGGCGCAGTCAGGACGCAGGAGCAGAGAGCAAGTCAGGTCATCGCGGTCTGGGAGAGTGGTGAACAGCCATGGTCCGAGAGGACTGAGCCCCACCTGGATGTGAGCAGGGGACTCGTGTTGGTGATCATGAGGGGCTCAGGCAGAGAGAGGCAGGTGAGGGCCAGGTTGCTGAGGGCCCCGTGTGCTCTGAGGAAAGACTCTTCTCTCTTAGGGTGACGGAGACGGCGGGGAGCCGTTTCTCGATCTTGTGCGTGATGGCAGCACACACACGTGGCCTCGTAGGGAGATGACCCTGGTGCCAGCGCTCAGGATGGTTAGATGATGACTGAGAAAAGCCATGAGATGCCAGGTGCCTGAAAGAGTACAGTTGTCAATCAAGGAACCTAGCCAATAAACCAAAGAAGTTCAGGGAATGGACACACCATTAAGGAACAGGCAAAGTAGAAAATATCCCAAGTTTTTGAGCCCAAGTCATCAGATGACAAAAATTATTGACAAAAACAGAGGTTCCATTTGCTTCATTAACCAACATATCAAAATTTTGATTAATGAGCTCATTGATTACTCAAAACCAAGATATTTGAGCACCCTGGAACTTCTTGATTTAGCTTAAAATATGAAAATTCTTTTCAGATGCTTCTTCCCACTCCCCCCCCCCAGATCACTTTCCCTTTCAAGTTGGTGGGATCCTGCCTGGCGTGCTCCTCGCCCCTCCTTCCCTGGCCAGCGTGAAGGTCACGAAAGACACCCACGTGGGGGACAGGAAGAAAAGGAAACTGAACAATGGTCGACATCTGTAGGAAGGACCAGTGTGGTCCGTCGTTAATGGCTCAGTAAAATGTGAAAATGCTTCCAGTCCTCTTCCTGTGTCTCACGTACTATTGGCGGTCTCGTTGACTGGGCTGCTGGGGGACTCGTTAATACAAATGTTCAATGATACATATCAGAATACAGTCTTATTACTTTCAAATTCAGAATAGTCTGTCCTGCCGAAGATAGTAAGTGCTGTCAGGATATTATATCAAATAAAAGTCGCCAGCTATGCTTGAATGAACAGATATCAATACTGCTCAATCAACGTGTTAAATGTTTATACAAGTAGAAGCTTCTGAAATGCTTCAACAATAAGTTTCTCTTAGATAACGCTAAAATCTCTCCCCATGACACTGAGAGTATGAGTCTGCTAACAAACCCTTTTTAGAGGTAGTAAATTGTAGCTCATCCCTGTTCCAATTCTTAAAAGTTCCAAATAAAGGAACTTAAATTAATTAAGTAATACCAGCCAAGGGGCATTTAAACATGCAGGACTAAAAATCAACGTTGTGAATTTTATATGACCAATTAAAAGATCAAAGGAAATGCTGGTCACTGGTCTGTGAAACTGAAGCAATTAAAATTTAGATACAAATTATAAAAACTTGATTCAGCACTTTTTATCGATTTAATATTTAAGAAAGTGAAGCGGACGCAGAAATATCACACCCCCAAAAGCCCTGCTTTCAATAATCTCAACAGACTTTGAGTAGCCAGGAAATAGATAGCGTACCCCTATTCATAAATATAACTTACGCTTCTTCAAATGTTCTGTGTTCTAAAGGCCACACACAACTTCCAACTAGAAAGATAAAAGTGCTGATAGTGGCTGTTGAGTAACAGCTCGCTCTTGGCTGTGACTTCTCCGGCCCGAGAGGCTGAGTTGTAGCGCCGCGTGAGAAAATCTCGTCTGCATCCGCCCCGAGTTTGCCCCGGGCTGTGTGTCTGGTTGAGCGAGACCTCGGAGCCCACGGCAGGGTGATTGACGGTGGTCGTCTGGGGCGATTCCGGAGGAGTTCAGAACCAAGGTGCAGTGTTCTCCAGGGTCCAACCTTGCCCTCCATTCTTTGATTCTGCTTCTCAGAGTCGACATCTCCGTCAGTCACTCGGGAAGGTGGTCCAGCCACCAGCGGTCTGTTCCCGGGCAGGGTCACCACACGTTTTCACACCAGATGGGTTATGGTCGGAAAGCTCCCCACCCGCCTGCACCCGCACACCTGCCTGTCCAGGGCTCGGGCTTTTCCCCAGGCGAGGGGAAGCGCTAGCTGGCCCCGTGGCCTCAGGAATCTCGGGCCCATCACCGATGACAGGCTCAGAGCTTCTCGGCCACCAGGCTGCCAACGAAACAGTTCCAAGCTCACGGGCTTGTTTTGTTGTTTTGGTTTTTGGTGGAGTTTTGTTTTGTTGTTTTTTGCTTTTTGGGGGGGTTTTGGGGTTTTTTTTGCTTTTTTGTTTTTTAGTGCTTTAGGTTAGATCCCTCTCCTTGTTTCGGAGGGCCTGGCCCCGACAAGCAGCTGTGTGCGGCTGCCCTGTGGGGCCAAGACTCAGTCCCTGCCTGCTGTTTCTGCTGTGGGCCACGTTTTGCTGCTCCGGGGTCACGTGCTCCTCCCCCGAGGGCTTCTGGGCAGTAGAGTGGTGCAAAATGAGAGCTTTTGTTGGCAGGCCTTCGTGGAACCATTGACCTCCGTGGCTCGGTTTGGAAATGTCCGTCTTCAAAGCAGGGGAGGCGTCAGGACAGGAGAGAGCAGACCGTGGTGGGCACCGTCGCGCCGCTGCCCCCACTGGGGTAACGCGGGTGCCGAGAAGGGCACGGCTTACGCCTCGAACGTGTCTGTCCGTGGTTTTCACCCAAGAAGGCTCGCGTGCCATAGCTGGAGAGTGTGCCACTGCCACCCCAGCTGGCGGCTGAGAAGTCCATGGTTGTTTTTCTCCAAACGAGAGGTGTCACGGGAGTGTTGTCCAGTGTAGACCAGACGAAAGCAAATGCAAGCATCGCTAGTGCTTGTTGAGTGTGGGTTGTGTGCTAGGCCCGGTGTTAAGGATTCCACCGGTGTTGGTTCTCGTCCTCCTGTGAGCAGCCTGTGGAGTATGGACTAGTATGATCACCTTGGCCAGGAAGGAGCCTGAGACAGAGCCGTTAGATAACCTGCCCCAGGTCACACCGGTAGTGACAAAGTGAGGATTCAGACACAAGCAATCCGGTTGAGAAGTCACGCTCATAGGTGTACACACCTAACAAAGAATATTGATAAGTGTGTGTGCATTCATTACGAATATACAACCACTCATAATTAGCATATAATCACAGCGCTAGGAAAGACTAGGGATGTTTTTCCAATGCCGTGTCTTCCAAAGCCAACCCAGCCAGACGGAGGTACAACTCTGTCAGCAGCTACAAGGTCCTGAAAGACCACGTCTGTGAACAGCAGGCTGTTCCCGGGGGTGGGGGAGGAACCTCTGCAATGTTGTTCTGAATCTTTATATTGATATGTGACTTTTCACTTCATTACAGAGTAATAAACTGCCACATTAAGGAGCACAGTATGTCTTGCTGCATTATAAATGCCAGGCATCAACTTGGGGAAATGATATAATAACACTTAGCACGGCAAGTTGATCATTTGGTATAACCCAGAAGTTCTGAAATGTTTTCGTTTCCAATGGCTTGCCTCCCTTTATGAGTTCTGCGCTCGACGGTTCACCCTTTCACCCTTTCATGCACATTTCAACACACAAGGCCTCTTGCTCGAATCTGCCCCTCATCCCCAGAAGACACTCAAGACGAGAAAGGAGAAATCAAAACGGAAGGGGTCAGGCCTGGGTGTTCTCGGCGTCTCTCTGTGTTAGCAGCACCGCGGCAGGTCTCCGCCAGTGCGGGCTTCACTAAAGGGAACCAGGACCTGTCGTTTTAGCAACGGCCTCTAACAGGAGTGATAAACTCCTTGCGTTCACCACTGAACAGGAAGAGCCATGAGAATTGCTTCATTAGAACCTACTGAGTAATGAGAAAAACAACTGCACCGTTATTTAGAATAAATACTTTCATATAGCTAGATTTGTACCACACATTGTAGACAGCCACACAGAAAATGCATGGAAAGAAGCGTATAATTTGTGTGTGTGTGTGTGTGTGTGCGCACGCGCGCGTGTGCACGTGCACATGTGGAGAGAGAGGGTGAGAGAGAATGAGAGTCAGTAAAACCAAGTTTGTCAGCAGGAGGTACGTGGGACCTGCTGGACTCCTGTCTGGTGACTGACATCCCTGTTGGGACACCAAATCACTTCCCCTCTTTTTGGCATTTTTTTTCGGAAGGCAGTCTTTGCACATGGTACAAAACTACATTAGTTCTAAGAAGGCGGTGCTGAGTGTAGGGAGCTGTCATAACTTGTCCATGTGTTGACGGTGTTGGTCCTACCATTTGTCACAGGTAATGGGACTCAAAATGTTATATATTTGCTCTACTTTGTAGTTCTAAAACTGAGGGACTGTGTGTTGTGAACCAAAGCCCACATCTCACCAAATGCACACTACACAGGTTGTAGAGAAGCCCAGGGCACAGACCTTAAGTGTAAAGCTGATGGCCCGCCATCCTGACACACTCTGGTAGGCCACCTGCCCTTGAATGGCCTCATCTTAGTGTTTGACCCCACATCTCAGGACAGACGTGGTGACTGCATCAGGTGACGGTGCTGGATCGGGGCAGAGCAGCCAAGACAGACATAGGGCTTCGTGTTTTTGAGGGGCAGGTGTTCTCGGTTGGATTGGGTTTTATGGGGGGGGACAGGAAAACCCCCACGATGAGGGGCAAGTGAAATGGCCAGGAGGTTGGACTTCAGCCAACAGTTAGACGGCTGCACCCTTCCCCCCTTCTCCCAGAGCACAGAGTGTGTCTGTCACCCAAGGACAGCGATGAAATGGCTTTGCATCGGACCAGAAAGATTCAGAGGACTTGCTTCTGTGTTTTTGGCTAGAAGCATATCGCCTTCTAAAAGTAATTATTTTCAAGATGGCTATTTTAATAAATATCCAGCCCTGGCTGGTGTAGCTCAGTGGATTGAGTGCCGGCCTGTGAACCAAAGGGTCACTGGTTCAATTCTCAGTCAGGGCCCATGCCTGGGTTGTGGGACAGATCCCCAGCAGGTGGTGCATGAGAGGCAACTACACATTGATGTTTCTCTCCTTCTCTTTCTCCCTCCCTCCCCCTCTCTCTAAAAATAAATAAATAAAATATTTTTTAAAAAATAAATAAGTATTCAAATCCTCAGGCAAGGACAGAAAACAGTCATATCAGAGGTGGCCAGTGGTTCTGTTAAGTCTCTCTCGTAGGCCGTGGGTGGCGGAACGCGCTGCTCCGCTTCCCGTTGCCCGGCGACGGATGGATTGCGGCTGACGGCCCGTTTCTCGCATCGGGGCCTATGGTGCTTGCACCTCCCCTGCGTGCCGGGAGTAACCGTGTCGTGGTGCTGATGTCTGCTCCTTCCTTACAGCAGCAACCCAGCCCACCGATACTACCTCGCCACCGACCCGGTCACAGGAGACTTGTACGTGTCGGACACCAACACCCGCAGGATTTACCGCCCCAAGTCGCTGACGGGGGCGAAAGACCTGACCAAAAACGCCGAAGTCGTGGCCGGGACAGGGGAGCAGTGCCTCCCGTTCGACGAAGCCAGATGCGGGGACGGGGGGAAGGCTGTGGAGGCGACACTCATGAGTCCCAAAGGTACTGACATTGGCCAATTTGGGGATTTCTTTTTATAAATAAAGAAAGGGGGTAGAAAATCCAGTTAGCGCCTGATTGTGCATAATGCTGAGTCTCACGTTTTATCCGCAGCTGGGTGCTGGAATGCTGCTTCACACCTCGTGTTGGTAAAAGCCGTGTAGCGCAACACTGCTAGAATCCTAAGTTGATTTTACAGTAAATATTGGGTTCTCGGCGTTTTTTTTGTTGTCATTCCACTTTTTTCAACTTTTGGAAGAATAAAGCAGCTACCTCTCTGTTATTCAGGTCACATCCTGCTCAACGTCAAACAAGGGCCCAAATTCTTTCATTGTCCCGGAATGTCTTTGTCTTGAATGAGTCCCAGGCCTCTGTAAAAACCATCACTAAGCAACCCTATTAGCCCTCACCCAGCTTGGAGCTATTAAACCTTTGTTTCTATGCCATGGGAAAAAATGCTTGCTGAGAGGAATTTCTGGAGGTAACAAGGGCTAAAAATGCTATGTGATAAAGGCTTCTAGCTTTTCAACCAGTTGGGACTGACTCCTTGCTCATGTATTATGCCATTCATTTCAGTGTTTTTTTGGTGGAGGGCTTTATTTTTTTTCATTATAGCTAACGACAATTGTGCGAACAAGGACTGGACAAAAGTATTTGTTGTACTGAATTATTCATAGTAGCAAATTTCCCTGTAACAAGGTCAACAAAACCCTGACCTTGGCTTGGGTCTATTTTTGTTGGAATATACGAGTTACTCTAAGTTCAGTGTAACAGAATTTGACCTATTTCTGTAATTCACAGGCAACAACATTATACAGATATTATAAGCTTATATTTAAAACACAAGTCCTATGTATATGATTCACACACAAAGCAGGAATTCTTATGAATCTGGGTTCTTTCTTTCTTTCTTATGGTTTTACATGCATTTGTATTGTAGACGTGCCTGTATTCGGTTTTTCCTAATGTTTTAGTGATCTGCAGTCCTACCCGCTACCTAGCTAGTGCCCATGTGGTCCCGGGGCTTAAACCCTGAGTTTGGGGATGGGCCTAAACGCGTAATCAAAGTAATCACTTTCTGAACACGAAGTAACACTTCCTTCTCTTTCTTGGATCCAGGAATGGCGATTGATAAAAACGGGTTGATCTACTTTGTGGATGGAACCATGATCAGAAAAGTCGATCAAAACGGAATCATCTCGACGCTCCTGGGCTCTAACGACCTGACGTCAGCCAGACCTTTAACCTGCGACACGAGCATGCACATCAGCCAGGTAGTCCCGGTGTCGGCCGACCGCGGTGGCGCCGTGTTCCCCCGCGTGTATCGTGTGGGGCAGACAGTGTGATGCAGCTGTTCCATTCAGATGTCACTCAGGAGCTACTGAAGAGTTACTTTCTTCTGTAGCTCTGCATTGGGTAAATTCAGTGAGATACAGAACAGTTATCACTAGGAAATGCTAAGCATCAGACATAAAAGGCCAGGAAAGTGGCAGCATGCAGATATTCCAAAAAGAACGGAGCTGTTCACTTAGCTCTCTAATCTTTTGATTGCGTGAGCGCCTTGGGTAGTCGAGAGAACCCACGTGATTAGTCCCGAGGGACGTATGTGTACAATTGGGGACTTCCCTATTGGCTTCATTGAAAACACAGTGGAACACGAATAGATTGACATCGTAGAAAGCCCTGACGTCGGGTGGCTGTTACCGCTGAATGGAACACATGTTCATACCTCATTGACATCTGCAGCTCACTCCTTAGAGGTTCATTAGCTCTTTGGCCGTCCCCGGCAAATCTTTCAGTAAGCTGCACATTTCAATAAAACGCTGTTTCCTACATTTGTTTCCACTCCAACTTTTCAAGTTTATTTTACTGTAGCTATTCAGAAAACAATTTTGGAACAGTTTATCGAATTGAGGGTAATTCCCCCCGAACGGCCTAATTTAATCTGCTGGCAAATTAACTGCAGCGCGGTAACTGACTAACCAGGCCGTTTCCCGTTTGACGAAGGTGCGTCTGGAGTGGCCCACTGACCTCGCCATCAACCCCATGGACAACTCCATCTACGTGCTGGACAACAACGTGGTGCTGCAGATCACCGAGAACCGGCAGGTGCGCATCGCCGCCGGGCGGCCCATGCACTGCCAGGTGCCGGGCGTGGAGTACTCCGTGGGGAAGCACGCGGTGCAGACGACGCTGGAGTCGGCCACCGCCATCGCCGTGTCCTACAGCGGGGTCCTGTACATCACGGAGACCGATGAGAAGAAAATTAACCGCATCAGGCAGGTCACGACGGACGGGGAGATCTCCTTGGTCGCCGGCATACCTTCCGAGTGTGACTGCAAGAACGATGCCAACTGCGACTGTTACCAGAGCGGCGACGGCTACGCCAAAGACGCCAAGCTCAGTGCGCCCTCGTCGCTGGCGGCGTCTCCCGACGGCACCCTGTACATCGCGGATCTAGGAAACATTCGCATCCGGGCCGTGTCCAAGAACAAGCCTTTCCTGAACTCCATGAACTTCTACGAAGTCGCCTCTCCCACCGATCAGGAACTCTACATCTTCGACATCAACGGCACCCACCAGTACACCCTGAGCCTGGTCACGGGCGACTACCTGTACAACTTCAGCTACAGCAATGACAACGACATCACCGCGGTGACCGACAGCAACGGCAACACCCTCAGAATCAGGCGGGACCCGAATCGGATGCCCGTGCGAGTGGTGTCCCCCGACAACCAGGTGATCTGGCTGACCATCGGGACCAACGGCTGCCTGAAGAGCATGACCGCGCAGGGGCTGGAGTTGGTGCTGTTCACCTACCACGGCAACAGCGGCCTCCTGGCCACCAAGAGCGACGAGACCGGGTGGACGACGTTTTTTGAGTAAGTGTGTCAGAATTCTCCTTTGACTGTAAAATACTGGGGTAAAATCTACAGTGATAACGGAATCTTAGAGGGACCTGGAGCTTCTATCATGTTGGCTCCTTCTTTCAGAAAAGGAAGGTCAAGTGAGCCTCGGGGCCTTGGAAGGGACTCGCGAACGTGAGCACCCTTGGGGCCCAAGTTCCATTAGCATCGTAGCGACGCTGCCTCTGCTTGAGCCTTAACATGTCCCTTCACTCAGACCGAGGGCGTTCACGAGAAACTTCAGGAGAGCTTGCCACGGCTGTGGTCCCAGGCGTAAACCCTTGGGTTCACCTGTGCCCATGCGATAAGGCTCTTTTGAGACCCGTCACTAAAAAGGAACTTTAAAACCATTGACAATGAACTTGGCTGATGATGACGTTGGTACTATGAATGTTACTTTCCCCTTTGTTCTTCTATTTTTGCACCCCAGCTGACATACAATATTCTGTCGGCTTCAGGGTTACAACCTAGTAGACATTTACGTAACTTGGGAAGTGACCCCCCCCACCGAGATGAGTCTAGGACCCGTCTGACGCCCTGCCTCGTTATCACAGGGTTATCGGCTGCATTCCCTGCGCTGCAGTTCATGTCCGCGTGCCTGTTTTTGTAACCGCCCACCCGTACTTCTCAGCCCCTCCACCTGTGTCTCTCGGCCCTCCAGCCCCCTCCCATCTGGCAACCGTTGTTTGTTTTCTGTGTCTGTAGGTTTGTTTCTGTTTTGTTTTGCTTTGTCGGAGTCCACATGTAAGTGAAATCATGCAGTATCTGTCTCTGTCTGACTTATTTCGCTGGGCGTACTGCCCTCCAGGTCCATCGATGCTGTCGCCAGTGGCAAGCTTTCCTTCTTTTTATGGCCGAGTAGCATTCCATTGTGTGTATGTATCACATCTTCTTCATCTGCTCGTCTGTTGGCAGGCACTTAGGTTGCTTGCGTGTCTTGGCTATTGTAAATAACGCTGCAGTGAACCTAGCGGTGCGTGTATCTTTTCAAATTGGTGTTTTGAATTTTTTAAAAATAAATACCCAGAGGAGTAATTGCTGGGTCATATGGTAGTTTCACTTTTAATTTTTTTTTAATGCAAGGGTTTTTTTCAATTTATTATTTTTATTTTTTTTAGATAGGGAAGGGAGGGGGAGAGAGGGGGAGAGAGACAGAGAGAAACATCAATGTGCGGTTGCTGGGGGCCGTGGCCTGCAACCCAGGCATGTGCCCTGACTGGGAATCGAACCTGCGACACTTTGGTTCGCAGCCCACGCTCAATCCACTGAGCTACGCCAGCCAGGGCTACTTTTAATTTTTTGAGAAATCTCCATCCTGCTTTGCACAGGGGCTGCACCAGTCTGCATCCCCACCAATAGTTTATGGGGGTTTCCTTGCCTCCACATCCTCGCCAGCACTTGTTGTGGGTTGATTTATTGATGGTAGCCTTTCTGACAGGTGTGAGGTGATATCTCCGTGTAGTTTTCATTTACTTTTGCTTGGTGATTAGTGATGTTGGGCATCTCTTCCTGTGTCGGTTGGCCATCCGTAGGTCCCCTGTAGAGAAGTGTCTATTCAGGCCCTCTGCCCACACACACAAAGAAGAGCTTACCTTTTTATCACCAGTTACTGGAGAATCTGAGCTGCACGTACAAGAACCTCACCACTAAATGCAAACCAGGAATCGCTGGTCGCTGTGAAAGCAAATGAAAAAGCACGCTTACCCGTCCAGGCTGCTCCACCAAACGTGTGGAATGGGGGCCCAGGGAAGGTGCTGTTTCAACAGTCATATTCTCAGGGGCCAATCACAATGAAGTGAAAATTAGCTCTTGTATGTCTTATGGCATATGTACTTTGCCGTGAATGCATGTGTAAAATTATTTCGATTACTTATTCACTGCACCAACCATAAGGGGAAATTCGATATAGAGAGGTGGCATTTGACAAATGCAAAACAGTCCTTGAAATGAGTATTGAGTTCCTGAGTGTGATTTTTGTAACGATATGCTGAAACAAAACTATTTTCTGTAGGAGCACACCTCTAAAATTATAATGAAAGTCAGCAGAAAAAGAAAATGACCCAATGGACAAATACTTTTCGTACAACTTCTCTGGAGTCGATCTCATACATAAAGCACAGTCCTTCTGTCGCTCGAATTGCTTTTCTTTTCTGACAGTTTCCCTTTTAATAAAATGAATGTTACCCAGCAGCATGATTTTGTCACGGGAACAACCCTTTCAACGGAATGACATTAAAATTTTAGAATCACGCTCGGAAAGGAATAAATTGGAAGTTAATGGGCAGCCCTTCTCTGCACCATTTTCAAAGTGAGAGCGGGAGACATCGCCGAAGAGGAGAAAGAGAAAGAGCGCAGAAACCGCGCCACGAACGAGGAGCCTGGGCAGGGGAGCTTCTCGCATCCTGAGACCTTCAGGACGCGACGGCGGCACTAGCCGGGTTTCAGTTCAGGCCAGAGCAGGGGGAAACAGAGAAGTGGGTTTAGGGTACAGTCTAGGACTCCAGCCACGTTTGAACGTGGCCGGACTTGTGCCCCGGGCCACGCTCTGCACAGAAGCTTATCTCACGGGTCACTCCCGACACAAGGACTTTCTGCCACAGATACAGTGGCTTCTGTAGACCCTGCAAAGGAACCTTCACCGAGTTCGGAAAATTAGAGAAAGGGGTATGTATACTCCAGTGGTGGAGTTAGTGTCAACGAATGTGAGGTGTTCGCCTTTTTTCTCCACTGTGGCCCACAGAGAGCCATCTCCCCGTAACCGACGCCCACGAGAGCTACAGGCTCCGTCAGGGGTGGATGTGGGGGCTCAGGCCGAGGCTGGCTTGGCCAGCCAGTCTCGTGAATGTGATGGGCAAGCATCGTGGTAAAGAATAAACGTCTATAATTAACTTAAATAAGTCACCCTCATACTTTCACCAATACAGACTCAGGACACATAAAGTGTACCTATTGTCCTTTATCTCGATAAGTTAAAGACAGCTGTTACAAAGCACTTTAAAATATTTTAGCAAATATAAACGTCCTCATTATATATGTTTATATAATATGCTTTCACAAACCAGCGCTTCAAAAATAACTTTTCTAGTAAAATTAACAGAAATACTGTTTTTTAAAAGCAGCATTCTTGTTAATTTTCCACCAGATAGCTACAGCAAAGACATGGCTGAAAGTTTTCTAAGACACATTTATGCGTTTTACAAAACAGAAAAAAAAGTGGAGCAGTTAACCAAATGCCGAATCACTGTGTCAGAATGACGATGGTTTGTCTTCTTCGCACACACGCTTGTCATCGGGCTGTGGGAGAGCGAGGGCCGCCTCTGCTCCGAGTGACAATCTCTGAGACGCTCCAGAGTGTGCAGAAGACGGGAGGGGGGTGTCGGCACCGGGCCACTCCGACGGCCGCCCCTGGGTCTGCACAAGCCTGAGGCGGCCGGTGGACAAACTTGGCGTCTCTCTGCACGCATCAGAGCCCCGGGCACCAGTGTCGCTTCTCACCCCCGGCAGGGACGTGCGAGTGGTGTGAGGTCTCAGTGAGAGACCCGGGGACCCAGCTCCCCGGTCACCCTGCCTCGGGGCTTGTAGACTCCCAGCGGGCTCCCCCGCAGTGGCGTCCCCTTCCTCTCTCTGTAGCGCCATGTGTCTCATTCAGTCCTTAGGGACCCTGGATGGTTTCATGAAGAAGGGATTTGAGAGGCCTGACAGTGGTCAGGGTTTTGCCGAAACCACCAGGAGATTGTGAAAAGAAACATCGTTCCCAGCTGAAAACACCTGTGCTCTAGGAGTTTCGTGACACCAGCCCCTATCATCACCTTTCTGCACAAATACGTTGCAGAGAGGAAGTAAACTTGTCAGCCCAAACTCCCACTGGTACGTGTCCAGCTTCCTAGCTAGCCTGGGGTCCAAAAAGCCTTGGGCTTAAAGCTTTACAGGATGAGAAACAGATGCAAGAAGACCTGGAATCAACACATCTGCCTACTGGGAAAAGTAGTTCCTATAGTTCCCACTGAAGAAGGTAAAAGAGAGCACTCATTCAAATTTCTCACCTTACGTGTTTTCATTGATTACTCCTTTTCTCAGCACAAACTTCACTTACCACTGGTGTGTCGCAGTATTGCTAAAAGTACAGAATGAAATTGGAAAGTGTTCTATAAAATACAAACTAGTTCATTGACTGGGTGGCTCCCACAACTCCGGGGTGTTGAGTTGCGTATGGAACTCTCCCAATAGCTGTCTGTCGAATGAAGGGGTGGAGGAATAAACCAAAAGGTAGACAGGTCAGTGTTTATAGAGAAGGCTCTGATAAAACCTGTAGCTGGTTCTTGCCTCGTCTCCCTGGGGAGAAGATAAAAATGCTCGCTAGCTCTCTGAAACAGTCCCGACCTCTCTGTACCAATAGTTGATGCTGAAAATAGTAACACTTCCATTTTTACTGTTGGTTTTTTAAAATAAACTTAGCTAACCTTACATGCTTAACCTCTTTTACTTTATGAAATACGGACTTCTTCGGTTGGCCTTAATATTAAAATAATTAGCAAAAGTATTAATGTACGTCCATAGCACTTTCTTTGGAAAGGGTGGTGCGGAGGAGTTGAGGAATGAAGACAGAAAACATGTTTCTGAGCAAATGCAGTTGACCTGTATTGTGGTACCTGGCATCAGAAAGGACCATTTTAGGGAGAGAACACGTGACTCCCCACCTGAGAGCCTCATCTGTCACCGATGACATCGGCCAGGGTGACGGTTTAGGGTACAGGGGCCTGCCCTTCCTCTTCTCCTGGGCAGCAGTTTCTGTGTGTGCTCGAGTTGTGTCCCTGTTGTGACAGGTCAGGGCGGTGGCCGTGCTCTCAGCCGTGCAGCTGGGTGGCGTGATAGGGGGACTGCAGTGGGAGTCACGCGGTGCGATCCCGCAGGTACCGTGTGCAGTAGATACCAGATGGGTCGTAACTGAGCTTTGAAAGCTGTGCACGAGACAAATG